GATTATAAATCATTCTATTATAAAGACACATGCACACGTATGTTTGTTGTGGTGCTGTTTACAATAGCAAAGACCTGGAACCAACCCAAACACTCATCAACAGTAGACTGGACAAAGAAAATGTGGCACATATACACCATGGAATACTAGGCAGCCATAAAAAACCATGAGTTTGTGTCCTTTGTAGAGACATGGATGAGTCTAGAAACCATCATTCTCAGCAAACTGATACAAGAACAGAAAACCAAACACCACGTTTTCACTCATAGATGGGTGATGAACAATGAGAACACTTGGGCACAGAGAAGAGAACAACATTCACAGGCTAGGTGTAGGGGAGGGGAGGAAAGGAAAGGGGAGTGGGGCAGGGAGGGGAGAGACAGTGGGGTGGGGGGAAGGGAGGATGGGAAGGGATAACACTGTGAGAAATGCCTGAAGTAGGCGGTGGGATTGGGGGGATGGAGACAGCAAACCACCATGCATGTATGTACCTACGCAACAATCCTGCAGGATGCAGGTTGTGCATATGTACCCCAGAGCCCAAAGTACAATTAAAAAAAGAAAAGTATTTCCCTGCAACTGGCAGCAAGCCCGCACATTACAATAATGTCATTCAAGCATATACCTATAGAGATTACTCCTCTTCAAATTGAAGTATAGAATGATTTGGGCAATTAAAATATTTATTCAACGCAGAGTTCTCTGAGTGATCTCTTTTCCTTTCAGACCTATTTTTCTGACTTAGCATACTTCAAATTAATGAGTATGTAATGCATATAATATTTTGACATTATTAGAAGTTTATGTTTCCTTATCAGTAACACAATGACCACATCTGCTGTTATTTTATGTGGGTGGCAAGATAGTAAGGTAACTATAAGTATGAACTCAGCTAGTTTCCTGGGGTTTGAGTCCTGGCTCCTCTGCTTAGCAGCTGTGTGATCTTGGGTAAGATGCTTAACCACCTGGGCCTCAGTTTCCTCTTCTAAAGAGAGAGGATAATAATACTGACCTAATAGGGATGCTATAAGTATTATGCAAATTTAACTAAATGAGCTGGTATTCATAAGTGCTAGAACAGTGACTGGTGTACCTTTTAATGGTTTTTAAATAAGCTACAGAATATAAGACAGAGGACAGAAGAAAGTTATCTATGACTTAGGCAAGTGGTCCAGCTAGGTCAAAACATTAAGGAAAAAGCTTGCTTTTTCTAGCACAAAGAAGAGAAAACATAGAAACCTTGTGCCATAACAAAGCCAAAGCCTCAGAGAGGAAAAATATTTCTTACAAGTTGAGAAAAAATGAGAAAAACTGAAATATGTTGACCCCACTTTCCACTGGGAGCTCTAAGGAAGGAGAATCAATCTGCCCAGCATTTCGTCAGCCACTTAGAGAAGCCACAGTCAGGCATAGCAAAGTCACATCTAGCATGAGCTAAATTAGCATGCCCCTGAAACTCCTGCTTGTGCCGTTTGGGAGTGGGGAGGTCATCAGTGGGTCTGGTTGGGAGCTTTTCATGTGGTATTGTTGTAGTTTTATGTAAAATGGTCCTAAGAACAAGGATTATCAATCAGCAATGAATTAAGGGGTGGCAGGGGTGGCACAGTAAGACAGTACAGTCCCTGGAGAGCTGGCCTGGGCCTCATCAGCCTAGGGCACCAGCAGGCCTCACCAGGTCAAGGCATTAGAGACCACAAGTTACAATAGATTTCAGCAGTGGACCCAAAGAACACTCAAAAACAGAACCAGACAAATTATAAATGCTGTGGATATCAGCTCTCACGTCCTCAGAGACCAACTCCGCAAGATCTCACTATGTTTCCAAACACCTCAACTCCATACTGAAGAGGAGCAGGAGGAAAGGAAGAGGAGCTGACGAATGAGTTTTTCAAAAGTGAATGGACTACCCAAGAGGCTAGTTAAAGATATGGTAAGTTTACCAAATTGAATTCCATATCATTTTCTCTACTTTCTCCTAGGGTGGGACTCATGAGGAATATAGTATATTAACTAGTAAAAATATTGAAATATATCTTCTTTATATTTTTGAATATATTAAAAGTAAATTGGGCTGGGCCTGGTAGCTCATTCCTCTAATCCCAACACTTGGGAGGCCCAAGCAGGTGGATGACTTGAGGTCAGGAATTCAAGACCAGCCTGGCCAACATGGCGAAATCCTGTCTCTACTAAAAATACAAAAAAAAAAAAAAATTAGCCAGGCATGGTGGTGGGCACCTATAATCCCAGCTACTCGGGAGGCTGAGGCAGGAGAATTGCTTGAACCCAGGAGGCAGAGGTTGCCATGAGCCAAGATCACGCCATTGCACTCCAACCTGGGCAACAGAACAAGACTCTGTCTCAAAAAAAAAAAAAAAAAATCACCTGCAAAAAACACAATGGGAGAATAGCACATTGAATTTTCAAAGAATAATTTTGACTTTTGAAAAACTATTTTGTTTCATAAAATTACCTATAAAGGAAAAGATGACGTATAAACAGAATGTTCAGATCGCCAGCTTTGGAGTCTAGCTGCTTTGATTGGAATTACAGTTCCATCCCTTTCAATAACTTTTCTAGGGGAAGTTATTTAACTTCTTGATGTCTCAGTTTCCACACCTATAAAAATAGAGTATCAGTCCTTTCTACCTCACATAGTTGCTTGGAGATAACACATGCACAACCTAATAGTTTCTGTTTCAGGATCCATTTTAAATAGTATTGAACAGACAAAAGTCTGAAACAGCTTCTGGCACACAGTATGTGCTCAGCTATGATTAGCAGTAAATATACCAGCCAGTAGAATTGTATCAGTCAAAAGCAAGTTGATGGGGAGAGAGACATTGGTCAAAGGATATAAAATTTTAGATAGGACGAATAAGTTGAAGTTGTCTATTGTATAACATGGTGACTATAGTTATTAACAATGTATTGTATACTTGAAAATTGCTAAGAGATTAGGTTTTAAGTGTTCTCGTCACAAATAAATGGTAAGTATATGAAGTAATGCATACATTAAGTAGCTTGATTTAACCATCCCACAATGTATACAGGTTTCAGAACCTCATGTTGTACATCATAAATGTATATCAATTTTGTCAATTAAAATAAAACTTTTTTAAAAGAAAATAAAAGCAAGCTGATATTTCAACCAGCTAATCTTATCTAAAAAGATTCCTCCAAGCTGTGATAGAAATATAGATATACTTCTAGCCATATTTTCAGTAGCATGCGTGTGATTAAACTGCTATTTTAAAATCATCTTTTTATTATCTATGTATAACCTACCCATGTACAGCCTATGTATCTAGTTTATATTACTTTGAACACTAAATTTACATAATAATTTTGTAGAAGCTGGAAAATGGGCAAGGTCTTCCAACCAATTATCAAAATTAAACTACTTTATGGAAACAAATGACTTGGGATAATTTATTTCGAACTTAACAATGTAGAAAAATGGAATTTTTGTTAATTATTTACCTTTGATCTCTGTAACAATTAACCAAATGGCATAAACATAATCTTCTTAAGACATGAGAACAAACAGTTACATGGAACAAATGGAAACTGTCACTGTGACAGGTGGCTATAAGAATTTTATAAACTACTAGCCTTTTGAGCTTTAGTTTCCATTTGCTAAGTAGTTAGTTTGTTAGTTGAGTCTTTTGGTAAACATTGCTTGCCTACTCAAGTTTGACAATGCGCTAAGTACATTAGTTTGATGATGGGAGAGGTGGGGAAAGATAGAGAGAGCTAAAGAAGCAGAAAATATGTTCTCTACTCTCAAAGATCTCACAGTCTAGCTCTAGAAATCTCCTATGCACCCACAAGATAAAGCAAATGATCATAAAACAACATATGCAACATAATATTGTAAAATATTTGTATGTGAGTACTGGGAGGATATGGAAGATAGAATTAAAGGGATAGAAATTATTATCTAGAATCAACATACATATAAAATGTATTCATTTATTAAAACATTGAACTAATCTTAGTAAAAAGTATATATATATATGTATAGTTGCTCCTCCATATCCTTGGTTCCACATCATAGATTCAACCAACCGCAGACTAAAAATATTCCAGGGGAGAAAGAATTCCACAAAGTTCCAAAAAGCAAAACTTGTATTTGCCACATGCCAAGTACTATGTTGAAGCCACATCAATAAAGCGATGTGTATGTATTGTACTAGGTATTATGAGTAATCTAAAGATGATTTAAATACAGGAGAATATGCACAGGTTATATGCAAATGCTACACCATTTTATATAAAGGACTTGAGCATCCTCAGAGTTTGGTACCCACTGGGTATCCTGGAATCAATCCTCCATAGGTATACATACTATGACCATAAATTGAGACTCTCTCTTGTAAGTATTTTTTTATCTGAAGTAAACTCCAGGTGTGTGGCTTCATTCAGAAAGACCAAATGAACTTAGTGCTTTGTAATTTATTTCAGTAAAGTAAAAATATAAATCTAATTTCCACTTTCCTTCTTTTCTTTAACCATAGTTTTTCTCCTTAACCTACAATGTACACAATGATGTTATTTGAATCCTATGTAGATATATAAAATAGACTACATAGGCTGCATGAGCAATGAACAAGGATAAAAATTGATTACCAGACATAAATATTTCTAAATTGTTGTATAAAAAGAGGATCCAGAGAAACATAACAAAATTACACTATTAATCACTTAGCAAATAATTAACATAGTCTACTGTTTTGATGCTTAATTTCATAGGTCATCACTGTTTAGACTCTACCAGATCACATGTCCAGTGAGTGCACTATCTTGAAGGTTAACTCATTCCATTATTTGCTAGTTATCATTGCAAGAAAATTTGTCCTTATACTGAGTTCACGTCCCCCCCACTAATTTCCACTCAGTTATTGTCTTCAGCAAAACAACATAAATTGGTTCTTCCTAAGACAGTAACAAACACAATGAACACGAAATAATGAGAATAATTCACATTATAGAATACATACCATATCCCAGGCACAGTGCCAAGTATTTTACACATATCAGCACACCTTGAAGATATTGTGGGTTCGGTTCCAGATCCCTGCAACAAAGTAAATCACATGAATATTTTAGTTTCCCAGTGTATATAAAAACTCAGTTTATACTCTATTGTAGTCTATTAAGTATGCAATAGCATCATGTCCAAAATATGTTCATGACTCAACTTTAAAATACTGCTTTAAAAATGCAAACAATCCTCTGAGCCTTCAATAAGTCACAATCTTTTTGCTGATAGAGGGTCTTGTCTTGATGTTGATGACTGCTGATTGATCAGGGTGGTGGTTGCTGAAGTTGAAATGGCTGTGGCAATCTTGTTGTCTCATTGATTGACCCTCTCTTTCACAAAAGATTTCTCTGTATCATGTGGTACTATCTGATAGTATTTTACCCTCAGTAGAACTTCTTTCTAAATGAGAGTTAATCCTTTCAAACTCTGCTGCTGCTTTATCAACTAGGTTTATGTAACATTCTAAATCCTCTGTTGCCATTTAAACAATGTTTATAGCATCTTCACCAGGAGTAGATTCTATCTCAAGAAACCACTTTGCTCATCTATAAGAAGCAACTCCTCATCCGTTCAAGATTTATCATGTGATTGCAGCAATTGAGTTACATCTTCAGGATCTATTTCTATTTCTAGTTCTCTTGCTATTTCTATCTCAGCTGCAGTTAATTCCTCCACTGAAGTCTTGAAACCCTCAAAGTCACCCATGAGAACTGGAATCAACTCCTTCCCAAACTCCCGTTAATGTCGATATTTTTATATCCTTCCATGAATCACAAATGTTAATTAATGGCATCATCTAAAATGGCGAATCCTTTTCAGAAGATTTTCAATTCTCTTGGCCCAGATACATCAGAGGAATCACTATCTATGGCAACTATAGCCTTACAAAACATATTTCTTAAATAATAAGACTTGAAAGTTAAAATGATGCCTTGATCCATGGGCTACAGGACAGATGTTCCTAGTAGGCATGAAAAAAAGCATTGATCTGCTTATATGTATCCATCAGAGATCTTGGGCAGCCAGGTACATTGTCAATGAGAAGTAATATTTTGAAAGGAATATTTTTTTCTGAGCAGTAGGTCTCAACAGTGGGACTAAAATGTTCAGTAATCCATGTTATGAAGACATGTGCTGTCATTCAGGCTTTTTTTTCTTCATTTATAGAGCACAGGCAGAGCAGATTTGGCATAAGTCTTAAGATCCCTGGGATTTTGGGAATGATAAATGAGCACTGGCTTCAGCTTAAAGTCACCAGTTGTAATCCCAGCACTTTGGGAGGCCGAGGCGGGTGGATCACGAGGTCAAAAGATCGAGATCATCCTGGTCAACATGGTGAAACCCCGTCTCTACTAAAAATACAAAAAATTAGCTGGGCATGGTGGTGCGTGCCTGTAATCCCAGCTACTCAGGTGGCTGAGGCAGGAGAATTGCCTGAACTGAGGAGGCGGAGGTTGCGGTGAGCTGAGATCATGCCATTGCACTCCAGCCTGGGTAACAAGAGTGAAAGTCCGTCTCAAAAAAAAAAAAAAAGTCACCAGCTGTATTAGCCTCTAACAGGAGAGTGAGCCTGTCCTTTGACACCTTGAAGCCAGGCATTGACTTCTCTTCTCTAGCTATGAAAGTCCTACATGGTATCTTCTTCTCATATAAGGCTGTTTCATCTAAATGGACAATTTGTTTCATGTAGTCATTTTCTTCAATGATCTTAGCTAGATCTTCTTGATAACTTTCTGCAGCTTCTACATCAGCACTTGCTACTTCACCTTGCACTTTTCCATTATGGAGACAGCTTCTTTCCTTAAACCTGCTGGACCAGCCTCTGCTAGCTTCTAATTTTCTTATTTAGCTTCCTCACCTCTCTGAGCCTGTATACAGAATTGAAGACTAAGGGCCTTGCTCTGGATTAGGCTTTGGCTTAAGGCTTTGCAGCGGGCTTCATCTTCTGTCCACACCACCATAACTTTCTCCACATCAGCAGTAAGGCTGTTTTGCTTATAATTTGTGTGTTCACTGGAGTAGCACTTTTAATTTTCTTCAAGAACTTTTCCTTTGCATTTCTAAGTTGGGTAACTGATGCAAGAGGCCTAACTTTCAGCCTCTCTTGACTTTCAACATGCCTTCCTCACTAAGCTTAATCATTTCTAACTTTTGATTAAGTGAGTGTTGTGTGACTCTTCCTTTTACTTGAGCACTTAGAGGCCCATGAAGGGTTATTAATTGGCCTACATTTCAATATTGTTGTGTCTCAAGGAATAACGAGACCCAAGGAAATGGAGAGACACAGAGGAACAGAAGAATAGTCAGTGAATGGAGCAGTCAGAACTCACCAAACCTTTCTTGTTTAAACCTGTTATAATATATGGGTGCAGTTAGTGGTACCCCAAAACAATTACAATAGCAACTTCAAAGATCACAGATCATCATAACAAATATAACAATAATGAAAAAGTTTGAAATAATGTGAAAATTACAAAAATGTGACATATACATATAAAGTGAGCACATGCTATCAGAAAAAACGGTGCCTGACAAGATTTCCACAAAAATTTAATGTGTAAAAAACACATCTGCAAAGTGTAATAAAACAAAGCACAATAAAATAAGGTATGCCTATATCACATTTCTTAAACCTCACAATGACTACAAAGGGTAACTATAATTATTATTCCCATTTTTCCATTGAGACAACTCAGGAAGACAGCTTAAATGAATTTTCCAAGTATACGTAGCCAGTATTTAGCCACGAGGCTCTAACCTCGGACAGTTTGACTTCAGAGTCTGTGCTTCTGTTCCTTATACTGTATTGCCTCACCTTGTTAGGTAACCAGAACCATAATCTTTCATAATATTACATGGGAACTGTTACAACACGCATTGTTCTCCCCTGTGGAGGATCATTCTGAAGATCAGTCTAAATCTGAATGCAATCCTATCTGCCAAAATAAATCAAACTTTCAAACCAATCTTTTTAGCAGCTCGTAGGCAGATCATAAGAAATGCTGGAGCAGAGGTGCAACGTAATACAAAGAAAACAAGACTGGTGTCTGAAGGCAGTAAATGACAGCAGTTGATTTGAGGACTACACATATAGTTGATAAGGTCACCTTATTTGAAAACTGATCTTTGAGCAGCTGTAGAGCATAAGAACTTCCTGTACAAACTGACAGAGTCTATAAATAGAAAACAGTCATTTTAGCACAGACCAATGAGATGTAGTGAATGTTTGTTTGACCAAACTTTGTAAAATGTCAGCAGTACTTAGAAGCTGAAAAAATTGAAATCTGAAGTGATACAATCCTTTAAGGCATATAGGTAAAGTTTTCAGACACTTTCTAGTAAAAAGCAAATGGAATCAGTCATTTTCCACAACATAGTTTTTATTAGTGGTTGCCTATATACTTATGTTAAAGATAAATGTAGTTCTACCCTTAGAACTAGGCAAGCAGTATCCCAGCCCTAAGCCCACCTCTTTAGAGGGTGTAGTTTCTGGATGGGCAATTTCTAGCTTCACTTCTCCTTTAGCCTCAGTTCCAAAATAAAGATGCAATGGAGGACTATAGCCAACCTGCTGTGGACATTTTATATGAGCAAAAAGCAAACTTGTCTGATTGTAAATCACTGAGACACAGGGATTGTTTGTTACCAAACACTTCTTAGCTGACTGGTACAAATCAGTATTTTCCAAATAATGCCATATTCTTTGGAAATATACTTTTAAAGTATATACACTGTACTATTCAGCAAATAATGTAATTGTTTATGCAGCCATTTTCCTATTATTAAATTGAAAAATAATGTGATAGGACCATCATTACAGGTATAATCAAATTATGTGAACACAGATAAGCACATAATTCCACATCATTCTAGATAATTCTGTTTTGAAAAAATTTTAAAGACAGCTTTAAAGGGGTAGTGTCTTGTCAGATTGTTCTTAAAGATGACAAGAATCTCTGGTGGTAGACAAGGAAGGCAAAAGCATTGTACACAAAAATGTACATGAACATTTCAGTAATGTCAAGGAACCAGTGCTTGCTTCCAGAGCAGGGTCTAAGGAGAATGAATCCAGAAAGGAACCACGAAAGAAGATGACAAAGGATCTTGAACCCTATTCTAAGGAATCTAGATTATCCTAGAGGAAAGGGAAGACATCAACTCTTTTGAAAAAAGGTAGGCTAAATCTGAGCTTTTGAAATGCATTTTATGGAGGAAGGAACACTTTTTGGAGTCAGGGTACAAGTTTCTACTGAGGCAAATTTACTTATGTGTAAAAGTATATTTCAGTGGTAATTTGTGTATTAAATTATATAAGTTAATAGATACCCAGGATTGATATTCAGATGTGAACTGGCTATAAGTGCAGAGTATGTTTTGAAGGAGGGAGCTGGTAAAAGCACAGTGTCCTGGCAATGTAATAGTCCAGGCAAAAGGTAGTGGGGTTGACAACCTAGGAAAACAGCAGTGCGGAAGCAAGTAACCAAGAGATTCAGAAACATTCCAGAGAGCTAAGAGACAGGACTTGGTAACCAACAGGATGCAGGTAGTGAGAATACTGGGAAAATAGAATTGCAATCATGGAGTCCTGCTAGAATGGTGAATGGACAAGTAAAACCAAGAATAGAAACAGAAGGCAATTCTATAGAAGAAAAAACAAATATGTCTTGGAAGCTTGAGAAAAATTAAGATCATGAATCCATAGGTCCTATTAGGCGGAAAGTAAAGCTGCAATGGGGTGAATTTGATCAATGTCAGTAACATGGATAATTTGAGCACCAGGAACACTTGTCTGTCCACAATATGTAGGACGGTAGAGTGAACAATTCTTTTATCTGAAAAAAATTCAGGTTTTTACTTCTAGATTTTCAGGAAAGGTAAAAATGAGAATCAAACACATCAAACACATTGTGTGAGAGATCCATATTCCCCATTTTGATCCTCTCTTCACCTACCCCTTGGGGAAAGTGCTTAACATAGTTGCACCTGTGTGGCAATAACATACATACAATATATAAATGCGTATGTGCCATATA